CTCTTGGTAAATCTATTTGAATTTTTTTTTTTCTGGGGAGAGATCTGTGGGAATCTGTAATGATGGCAATAGGTTCCTGGGTTATTTAGCACCAGAATATTCTGGGTAGCCATTCTAGGATGTCTGTACAAACCCTGCTGTTGCTAAGGATGCCTCCCCTTGCACAACTCAGCTCTTTTTCAAAAGTCTCCAATATTTCCCTACTCAAACCTTTATGTGAGCTGGGGAAGGTTTGTCACCAAGGTTTGTTACTGTTGCTTTTGGGCAGTTTTGGGGGGTAAACTGATCTAGCAACGATGACCAATCTTTGTAAAAGTTTTTCACTGATTACTTGAAAATTGAGTTTTCAAAATAATAGATCTCAGACTCMTAGAAGGAAAAGGGTTATCATGGCATCTAGATGGTTTTCCAGACCAGGAAAATTTGTTTCAGCTTTCTTACCCTTTCCTTAGAGACTTTGTGATTTAAGTTTTGCTTTTCCTGTTTTCCTATTACTTACTCCATAATCTAATACTACACATGCAGGCAGGAAGCTATTACAAAAGCAATTCAAAGGCTTATGTTAACTTGGAAAAATAGCAGTGCAGCTAGCACTTTTTTTTTTTCTCCACAGCAATATTCCAGGTGGTCTCATATCAGAATTTTCCAAAGCTACTCAAGGAGAAAACAGCTCTGCAATATCCTCCAGTATCACAGGATCTTGAGCAGTAGCTTTTCTTTTACATGGAAAGAGCTACACAGAGTAGAAGCTGAACCAGCATCTCKGTAGGTAAGTAGCAGAAAGAAAAGGTTGGGAAAATGTGCTTTCCCAGGATCGGAGCAGGATTTTAAACTCCAGTCTAGATGCTGGAGTTTAAAATCCCGTTCTACCCCTGAGGTACTGGTGGACATTGGGCAGATCACTGAGCCTACTGTGTAAAGGGTTTCAACCTTTCCTATTTTTCAAAAGGGTGGTTCAAAAGACTTAATSAAAATACTTTGAGAACATCAAGTGAATGGAACTACAAAAAATATCATTAAYAGTAGGAAAACTTGAAAATTAACTCCAACCTTCACCATATACATTACTCCAAAACAAGATAATGTCTCTGTGCTAATAAATTGATTAGGCTGTATCTTTACCCCTTATGAAGCAAAGTCTTTCAGCAGCTCTGTCCTGCATAGTACCAAGGCTTCTGTAATCTCATTTCAAAAACATAATGAAGGTATCTCAAATCATCWAAATTTTATAATAACTGACAATGCAGTAGATGTGTATATATATATATATATAAAGAGCCATGCTGCAAATATTACAGGGAAAGTAATCTGCAATTGAATTTAATTTACAGCTCCCAGATCATGCAGCCTCCCTGACTCATCCAAGACACTCTGCTTTATCAGAACTGCCAGCACCACACTGAGACAGCGTGCAATAAAATATGGAAAATATGTTCCCAGTGTGTGACCTCAGTGATGCTATGAGCTGTCATGAAAAACACTTTCYTCTCGCAGTGAAATGCCACGATGCGCTTCATTAGCTTGGARGCAGACACACAGTGCTGCTGCTACTGGCACTACTTCTGCCATACCTGTGCTGTGCACAGAGGACTTCAGGCCTAAGGATATTCACCCTCAACCTCCTTCAGTAGCCCAAAAGCAAAGCTTCACTTCTGGCTATAGTCCTGAGTAACACGAGATAGAATCACTCTTGTGCATCTAAAGGATGAAGTGTTGTGAGGTAACACCCTCATGTRCTCCTTCTGCCCTCAAAGTGGGGTAAAAACTGGCTGAGCCAAACTCAGGAGCCAAATTCAGGAACCTGAGCAGCACAGAAACTCCAATAAAACTGCACGGCACTACTTTCATGGAACTCAGTTTTGCAGACACAGACCTAGTTGTATATGCCACTGATCAAGTTTGAACCCTCCCTTTCCTCATGACAGCTCTAGCATCCCTGGGTTTGCCAAATAATAAATAAAGCTTTACCATTCTTTCTCCTATTTTAGTATAGAGCTTGGGTGCTAAAATAAAACCCATTAAACTGGCTACTGTTGAAATAATATTCATTGAAATAATACTCATTGAAATAATACTTATGCATCTGTGATTTTAGTTCAAAGCACTGAAATCTTTCTGCATTTCATGGATGTATCATGGCATGGTAAGAGAATATTGCAGCATTTCTCCTAATTGCTCCTGCAGCATAAAGTAATGGTGCATCTTGTACCTTCAGCAGGAGAGAAACACAGAATAATTTAAGTCAGAAAGAACATTCTTCTTTAGTCCAAACTGTGCTAAAAGTTGAGCTTGCTCCAAAGTTAGGTCAGGGAGGCAGGGCATCAAAAATAATCACTTTTATCTGTCACCACTGGGCAGGAGAGAAATTAAATTTTTTGAGGGGATTAAATGTGACATTTCTAAGAGCTGATGAGGAACAAAATTACCAGAAAATATAGATTCCCCAGCAAGGAACTGATAATGAAAGATTGATCTTAACACCTCATATTTATTACTTCAGTGACACTTTCTGCTATTCTAAAGATCAGATATGCAGGATGTGCAGCTGATGTTTTTAAAGTCAAACTAAAGTGTAGGTAATTTCAGAGAGGGATTGATTTTTAAATATCAGTGTTTATTGTAGTGCAAACGGTATCTGAAGACAACCAAAGACACCAAGCTGCAGTTTAGTTTGCAGCTCTTCYAGACACTTGGTTTTGAACTGCTGTGCTTGATTCACTGAGCAGAACAGAATAAGKCTGGCCAGGACATGTTTAAACTGCTGAGTTTGCTGAGTTTGTGAGTTGTTGCTCCACATCTACTGTCTTCCCTGCATGGCTTTTTCCCCCAGCCAAGCCACTTCTTGATCACAGTGCAGCATGRAAGTGCCACTCTCATCCATTAACTGGGATCAGGCAGGGTAGACCACATGTAAGAAGTGAAAGCAGTCATGCCAAAGCCTCACATGCAAGTCCAAGGCAGGCAAAAGGCTGCCTCCTCTCCAAAGAGCCTTCCTTTGACCTTCTCCTCCCCTCTTGCCCATAATCTTGTGGGTTACGTCAGAACCTTGTTACAAGGAATGGTACTTATAAAGGGTTATGTGAGGTGAGGATCATATGTATATGTTAATGTGGTTCTTCCTGCTGAAACTGCTTCCAGAATGCCTCTCAGGCAAACACAGCAGTGAGCAGTACTCCCTGATGTGACTATGAGTTTAAGGAGGTAAGAGGGAAAAAACCCATACACTACTGAGTTTGCTGAAAAACTCCTGGGAGATTGTGCAGCTCATGTACCCTGGTGCTCATCAGGTAACTATGGGGGTTCTAAATCTTAGATTTCCACTCTCTTTAGATATTGGGTACCTGCATCCCCCACTGTTACCCTGGATCTAGAGGAAGGCAGCTCCAAGGGTTCTTCTCTGCTGTCTCCTTCCCCTGGCAGCTGGAGAGGAGGCACTGAGCCACATCAGCAGCCCCCACCTGCCAAGTGYACGTGGATCTGCACTGTCAGTGATCATGGCCAACTGAGATGCTGCTGCACTGTTCTAGAAAAGAGCCAACCACCACTTACAGTTTCGTTGAACAGGGCTCTGCTACAAGAAGAGCTATTAGCTAAAGACACAAAAGCACCTGGCTGATGAGGCTGAAAGCAGTTTTGAGATCTGAGGTTTGTTAGAAAAGGCACTTGTCTTGTGGGATGCTTATGCTCCTGCAAAGAAATGATGAGGTAGGATGGGTTTCAAGACCCCTAGAGAAGAACAAGTCTGCAGTTACCATCACATTTCTTTCTATCAGTACTAGCAACAGAATAAATGCTCTTACACCTTCTTTTCTTTTTTTTTTCCTTTTTTTTTCTCTACATGGTCAAAATGTGGAAGAGAGGTAGTGAAAATATTTAGGAAGAAGTGTGCAGCAAGATTTCACTAAAAGAGACAGAATTTGAATCTGGAGCTGTTCCAAGGGTCCCACATTCTGTTAGTACCACAGCAAAGGCAACATATGCATGTGTAAACTACATTAGATTGACTTTGGACAGTCTTACTTATTAAAGCATGCTCAAGTCCCAGAGTTTTCTATGGGCCGAGTACACAGTTAAGCAAAGCACACCATTCCACATTTTCCTGAATGRAGTAGGTTCCTGATAAATTGCCTAAAGATGTTGCATATAAACACTTTGAGTGGCAAGTTGGGTTTTGAATTTGCAACAGAGCAGTTTCTCAGAAGCAGCCTTGTGTTCCTGGCCCATGATAAAATCAAGGTAGCTTCAGCATTCCACCTTGAAGAGCTTCCACCTTGCTCAAARTAGGCTCTGGTCATGCATGAAGCTTTTCTCATTGTAATTTGCTTATGTGCTTCATCCTTAAATTAAAACATCTGCCAAGTCCACAGTTTCACWGAGCTCACACACAGTCATAGCAAAATCAATTCTGCTAGAAGGAAGCCAATGCCCTACTTCTCAGGGTGGGCTGTTTCCATGCCAAAGCAGAATCTCAGTCATTTGGGCTCCACCTTCCCTCCAACCAAACCAACCCAAAATTTCTAAAGGAGTTTTTCAATAGGAGCTGTGAATTCCCTCACTTTGCTCAATTCCCTTTTTTCTAGGCACTGCCAGAATCTTGTCACACGCATTTAGGGAAAAGAGGATGGTGACACACAGACAGGTTCACATTTTATTGCATGTTACTAATGATGGAAAATGGCAGCTTCAAATTGAGCTTTAATTTCAAATAAAGTAATTTTCAAACTTAACCTCTGTCTTGAGGATGAAAATTRGATGTCTGTGACAGTTGTACTATGRCATGTAGCTTGCTCTGCACAGYAGCTCTGCAGTAAAGTATCACAGATGCTTTGTGGTGGCAGGAAGACCCTGCTCCTGGGGACTGCAGATTTACTGTACTTGCAGAATTCCACCTTAAAAGTAATTGGACGTCTCTGTAGCTCAGAGAAAGTTTGTTAAGCAATGACACACTGCACTTGGATCTGAAAACATAACATCTGGAAGCCAAATGTTAGAGGCGATATAAAAGCACCAGCCTGACAAACCAGAGGGGCACTGCTAAGCCAGGAACATCTTCAGGATGGACCTTTTCCTTCTCTGCGTGTTCCTGCCTCTGGTGACTGTGGCATGGGGCCAATACAGTGACTATTAYTATGGTCCCTATAATTATGGAGATAACGACGAATGGGTCAATGTCTACCGGCAGGGTTTCAACTTTCAGTGCCCACATGGGCAGGTGATTGTGGCCGTCAGAAGTGTTTTCAGCAAGAAGGAAGGCTCTGACAGACTGTGGAACTATGCCTGCATGCCAGCATCCCAGAGCCTCGGTGAGCCGACAGAGTGCTGGTGGGAAGAGATCAACAGGGCAGGAACTGAATGGTAGGATAACCCCAAACCTCCCTGGAGGGCACAGCCCTGATAACCCCTGTGGAATGCAGGTCCCAATACTGCRGCCAGAGCAATGCAAATGCATATTAATGTCATGATAACCAGGGCTTCACTGCCTAAGACTCGTTAATCACAGTGCATGGGAGGTGATCAGCATCACTTTTGTCTTCTCTGTAGCAATTTCTTGCTGGAGGGTGTCAGTGTGCTTTACAAATGCCACTGTCCTTTGGTCACTCTCAACTTTATCTGCAAAGAGGTTCTATTGCTGTTGTTTCAGTGATAAGGAAAATGAGGCAAGAACTTTCAGTGAGGAGATCATAAAGACCCTCTTGAAAAGTCACATTGAATCAATGATTAAACTGGGGAACAAATGCAAAACTCCTTACTCCATCTTCATGCTCTTATCCCTAGAAAAAATAATCTCTGTGTTGCACTGGCTCTTTGCTTTGTGTTTTTGTTGCTAAGCTTTTTGGCTTAGAAGAGACAAAAGCTATTTTCTAGTTGTGCTGGTATTACAGAAGCCAAAAATCCACACTAACAAGTGACGATGGTGGCATAGATATATGTATGATGATAGCAGAAGATCGTGTTAATTCCCTAATACAGTCAGTTTGATTAACTAAATGCTACATTTTCCATCAGCCTTGGAGGAAAAGGTGATCACACTATCTGGCCACAAWAATTCCTGAAAATATGTATAGCGTTTCATATTTGGGCAAAATACTCAGTATTTAATTAACTTCTTGGGTTTTTTTTTTTCAGTAAATGGGAAACAGAGTTTTGGACAACTCTAGGATTGAAATATTCTTTGGACAGAATGACATACAGGCAGGAATGAGTATTTTCAAATACTTGAAATGGTTTTGTTCCAGAAATTGCAATGTGATTTTTTGAACTTTGTTTGTGGGAATAGGTTAATAATGAAATGTTAAGTTTATGCTTTTTAAATGATTCAAAATTTTGTTCTGAATTATTCATACTCTTTCATTGACCACGTGATACATGCTTATGGCTGATGCAATTGCTAAGGGAAAAAAATACTGACCCTGTACTTAATTTTGGAATAAGAAGTGAAAAAAAGAGGGAGAGCTGCAAAACAGGCATAAAGAAGACACTCTGAAGATCTTGGATGACTTCTTCATTTTTCATACATTGATGCAATTCCTATTTATTCCAAAATAATTTTGAATTTGACATTTCTTTTGTTCAAAATAAACTTATTATTCTCTTTCTAAGAATCSCTGGCAGCAATTGCTCAAGTTCACTTCTCACAAACAGGATACTGTATAAGTCTATACAGAACATTTTCTTCAGCTGTATAACCATTCATCATCATGCTCCATATGCTTAGCATGACTACATCCAGAGTATTATCTGAATCTTGTTTCCTTCACCACTTAAAAAAATCTTTTCACTTTGTCTTCTTTGTTGCCTATTTTTTTTTTTCTATAGAAAACCCTCTATTTTCTCCAAATGCATTTCTTTTTCAACTCCTCTTTAATTGCTTAACTGTTTCTCCCCCTTCACTAGCTTTTGGATTTATTTCTTCACTTGCTCACTGTTTCAGTCCAACATCCTTACATCTCTCACCTGCTCTGCATAGATCTTCCTTCCTTCCTTCCTTCCTTCCTTCCTTCCTTCCTTCCTTCCTTCCTTCCTTCCTTCCTTCCTTCCTTCCTTCCTTCCTTCCTTCCTTCCTT